CATCCATCCATCCATCCATCCATCCATCCATCCATCCATCCATCCACTCATTCAACATTCATTGAGTTGGTTCCATGCATCTACTGAGCATCTACCGTGTGCCACGCACTGTCTGAGGCTCTAGACACACAGTAGAGAATCACAGTCAGTAAATGAGTCATGACGTGCTATGTTGGATGGACAGTAGCTAGTGCTGAGGACAGTCTTCATGGGAAGAGGAGAGAGGAACCAGGAGGGGAGTGCAGCTTTATCAGGCATGGGAGTCAGGAGGGAGGGGCCAATGGGACTCCAGGGAAACAGCAGAGGCCACACCATGTGCAAAGGTCCTGAGGCCAAGGAGTCTGTGGGTCACAGGCCACTGGAGCCAGTGTGACGGGGCACACTGGGCACTGGGGCACAGAAGATGAAGTATCGGGGGTGGGCCACACAGGCTGTGGTGAATATCAGCTGCATTTGGGCAGTGAGGGAGGGTTACAGATTGGAGGTTCTGCCCCTGCTAACACCAGCAACTGCTGAGGGGGACCCTAGGAACCCCCTTTCTCGCAGTCAACACCACCTCCTCAGCCAGCAAGGCCCACTCGCCTGCTGCCCCAGCTTCTCTCCAGGCAAGCTGTTCCCCGTCCAGAACCGCCTTTCACTCTTCACCAGCACCTCACTGCCTGGAAGCCCCAGCGGTCAGGCCCATGGCTCTTTGCCATCTGCAGGAATCTAATTGATATTTAGTCCCCATGAGGAACTGGCAGTGAACGGGCCCCACCAGCCTGCCCCTAGGGGCCCACTGTCCCTCAGTGGTTCCAGGGGTCACTCTGGCCCTCAGTGGTTCACAAAGAGCCTGTCTTTGTCCCAACCCTGGCACTCCTCAGGAAGGGCCCTTCGTCCCCTCTGTCTACTTGTGTGACCCCAGCACTGGACCTGCTGCTCTACGCCTTCTTTCTGGACCCTCGGGTCTGCCCCCCTGCCTATCAGAGGGCCTGCCCACCCCAGCCAGGGGTGATGGTAGGTGAGGATGCCCAAGGGCCAGTTTACTGCTTGAGAGGTCTTGAGGGTGGCATGGGGGGTCTGACTCTGCCCAATTGCAGTCATCCAGCCGAGTGTCATCCTCATCCATGGGCCAGACCCCGTTACTGTGACATGATGCTGGGAGCATCAGGGGTCGTGTGTCAAGGCCACCTCGCTCCTTGGGGACAGCACTGGCAAGGACTTGTCCTGTGGATGTGGACTTCCTATGCTGTCTGTTCTTCACTGCGTCCCCACGGAACCCCTGGTCTGCTGTGCCAGGGCCCCATCTGTCTCCCCATGATGGAAAGCAGGGCCACACACTCTCTTCTCAACTCCCTCACTGGCCTGGCTCCTCACCCCTGCCGCACCCTGGCCCTCCGCCGCCCCGCTCACCCCCGCCTCCTCCTCCGTGGGACCAGCCCTCTTAGTTTATCTGGTCCCTTTTCCCCCTTCTGCTCAGATTTCTTCTCCCGCCTCCCGACTCAGTTTCAAGCCTCTAGCCAACCCAGGGTGTCCGAGGCCCCAGGAGCTGGGGGCCCCACAAAAGAAGCAGCAGTCCAGAAAATTCCATCAGAGCCCTCCCGCTGGCAGCGGGCAGCATCTGCCCAGCACCCTCACACAGGCTCATTTAACCTCAGTGGCCCTCCACCTGGCGCCAGCTGCAACCTCATGTACCGGCTACTAAAGGCTCAGAGAAGGCAGGCTCCTGCCAGAGCACACAGCCAGGAGGGGCAGAGGCAGGACTGGAATCTGGCTCACTGTCCCACAGTCACAGTGCCCAGCTGGGCCAGGCCTTTCCATACCTTCTGCCCAAGCCTCACACAGCCTGGGGCAGCTGACCACACGCAGCGTAGCCTGGCCACGGACGTCCACAGTCCGGGGCACAGGCTACAGATGCAGCCAGAGCTGAGCATACGTATGCTTGACCACCAGCTCTAGGAAGTGTGGGTGACTGTGGCTTCTTCCTCTAGGGTCACGCAGCCCTTGGAGTTGGCTGAGTGGCCCTGCCTGTGCCATCCCCCCATGCCCTCCAGCACCCCTCACATTAGGAGAACTTGTACTGTGATGGTCGTGTCTCAGGCAGGAAGACAGCCACTCGGGGTTTCTGGATGTCAGCCTCCGCAGCCTGCTGGCCAGCCACGCCTCTCTCGTCGGGGTGGGGGAGGGCATGCCCACGGCAGAGAGCAGGACAGCCCCAGTTGACTTGGCCCTGGAGTCTGGACTGTGACCCCTAAGCCCTGGCCATGGGAGTGATACTATGCCCTTTGCAGCTGCCCCAGCAGACCACAGCTGTGCCCAAACAGTCCTGTGACACCTCAGTCCCCATCTTGTCCCTGCTCCACCCACCTGCCTCTCTCACCTTGCTCACAGCCAGTGCAGGTTCCATCCCAGACCACCATATAAAGCACATGTCACAACACTCACGGAGTGTTTGCTTTCCTGATGTGAAAAAGGTCACGCAGACACGACAGGGTGGTCTACCACGTATGCAAGCATTATAAAAAAGCCCCCCCCCCATATCGTGAGAATTGCCAGAACGTGACACTGAGGCACAAAGCGAGCCCAGGGGTTCGATCAGAGGAGCCTTCAGACTTGCTCAGCACACACTTGACCACAAACCTTGAGTTTGTTAAAATACACTTTCTGAACCTCAAGAAGAGAGCCCAGTAAGATGAAGTACATCGATTCTTTGTGTTCTCACGTCCTGGTAAGTCAGAGCTCTCCCATCGCACGCCAACAGCCCCGTTCCCACCAAGCTGGCGCCGCAGGGAAGTGTTCCTGCTGGGTTAGTCTCTACACAAGCCCCACAACACGGTGGGCGCCCATCGCCGCACACGGGGCTATGTCTCCACTCACAGCTCACAGTGGGCACCTGTCCCTGCACACAGGAGCACTCCATCCCTCACTCACAATGGGCACTCCATCCCCACACAGTGGGCTCTCCATCCCCGCGCACAGTGGGCTCTCCATCCCCGCGCACAGTGGGCATCAGGCCCGCACACAGTGGGTACTCCATCCCCACACACAGTGGGCATCAGGTCCACACACAGTGGGTACTCCATCCCCGCACACAGTGGGCATCAGGCCCGCACACACAGTGGGTACTCCATCCCCGCACACAGTGGGCATCAGGCCCGCGCACAGTGGGCTCTCCATCCCCGCGCACAGTGGGCATCAGGCCGGCACTCAGGGAAAATGAAGTTTGATGGGAATGAGTGATTGACAAAAGTGACCTTGCCTGGATGGGTCCCACCCTGAGGGCTACTGCTGCTCCTCAGGTCCCCCCTGACCCTCCCTGTGTCTTCCTTCAGTCATCCTTTGAGTCAGAGATTTCGGAGATCAGAATCACACAAGGCGAGATTAACCTGGCCGTCAGGAACCTGCGGGCCTGGATGAAGGATGAGAAAGTACCCAAAAATGTGGTGAGTGAGCCCAGGCATCCAGCGGGCAGGGGGCTCCAGAGACTTTGCTCTCCACTGGGCGTGTGTGTGGTGTGTGTGTGAGAGAGACAGACAGACAGGCAGGCAGGCAGGCAGGCAGGCAGAGCTCTGAGCAGGCCAGGGTCGCAGGCTCCTCACTGCCCACTGCCCTCTCCTGACCCCGCTCAGGCCACACAGCTGGACTCAGCCTTCATCAGGAAGGAGCCCTTTGGCGTGGTCCTCATCATTGCCCCCTGGAACTACCCCTTGAATCTGACGCTGGTGCCCCTGGTGGGTGCCCTGGCTGCAGGTAAGCCGTGGCCTCAGTCCCCCCACAGCTCACAGCATGGCCATGCATGGAGTTGGTGAGAAAGGGAGCTGACAGGAGGTGGTGGAGAGGCCTCGTCTAGGCTGTGTGGCCATGGGCCAGTCACTTTGCCTCTCTGAGCTAGTCTCATCTGAGCCCAGGGTGAGGCGGCACATGTCCTGTGAGTGTGAGCTCTGTGGGAGGGGCTTACATCCCCCCTCTTCACCCTGGGCTGTAGGGTGAGGGTCCCAGGAAGGGGTCTGCCCCCTGCTCCTCTCCTCTCCCACCCTCCGCCTGCCGCCCCAGGGAACTGCGTGGTGCTGAAGCCGTCAGAGATTAGCACAAGTGTGGAGAAGGTCCTGGCCGAAGTGCTGCCCCGCTACCTGGACCAGGTAAGCACTGCCTGGGGCAGACTACGGTGACACCAGACGGTCCCCACCCCGCTGGGACCAGGCAGGGATGGATGCTGGCCTGGAGGGACAGGAGCCCGGGAGTCAGACTTACACTCCAACCTCAGTCCCACTTCAGTCCCGCCTCTCCCAGAGGGCAGCACCCTCCCTGCCTCAGTTTCCTCTGAGTAAATAGAGCAGGGCTGCCCCAGGTGTGGTGTGAGGACCAGGCCAGGCCAGGCTGTCCTGAGGGCCCTGGCTCCTCACACGGACCGTATCGTTCGGTCAGCCGTGCTGGGCTGGCCTCGGCCCTTCCACCAGCGCTGACCCCACACTTGGTGGGTGAGGACCTGGACTGTCCCTGCTGTGTCTGCCCTTGGGGGGCTCCCTGCTGCCCCCTCCATCTGCATCTGCGCAGAGTCCTAAACCCACAGATCAGGACAGGAGAAGGGAGGGGACAGTAGGGCGGCTTCGGGCTCCCCAAGGGCAGTCCCACAGGCCCCTCTGCTGCCCCTCACAGAGCTGCTTCGCGGTGGCGCTGGGCGGGCCCGAGGTGACCGGACAGCTGCTGGAGCAAAGGTTTGACTACATCTTCTTCACAGGTGAGGACACGCTGTGGCCACCAGGGACAAGGGGTGGAGAGCTGAGTCCAGCCCCACCTCCAGGGGCCTACACTGGCCTGAGAGGCCAGAGACGACAGGGCAGAAGGGGACCGGGGGCTCAGGCCAGGCCTGCAACTCCTCAGAGTGGAGAGAGGCCCTGGTGGTCCAGCAGGGGCTTCACCCGGCCCAGGACCACTGCCTGGCCTTGACCCATGACCCCAGGGTCCCCTAGACAGGGTCCACTGTCCCTCTGCTCCCAGTCCCCCCCCCCAGCCTGCAGATACGGGGCTCAAAGCTCAGAGGGACAGAGGGGTGCAGAGTCCTCCGTCCTGGGCTCCTTCCCTCACTCATTTGATCATTCATTCAATAACTCATTCATTTACTCACGTTCTCATTTGCTCATGAATTCACACGCCCCTCCCTCCTTCCCTCCCTCACTGATTCTTTCAATGGCTCGTGCATCCATTCATGCATTTGCCCCTTCAGTCACTCACCTTGTCAGTCCCTCCCACACACATTCAGTCATGCTCCTTCACTCATTCACTCATAGACCCATTTACCCATGAACACTGGTTGGGAACGTGGATATACACGAGGCCCCGGGATAAGGTGGGGATCAGAAAGACCAAATTCTTCCTGTGTGGACTCACACTGATGAGGGAGACAGCCAGGGAGGAGGAATGTTCAGAGACAGGCTCTGGCCTGGGAGAGGTGCCGAGGGTGGGGCTGTGGTGGCAGAAGTCCCCGGGGTCAGGAAACGCTCACTGGGAAGAAGCCACGAGAGCTGTGGCCTGAGGGGGGTGAGTGTGGTGAGGGCGCAGGAGGGAGAGCGGAGAAGAGACAGTGAGCTTTACCTGTGGGCAGGCGTGGGCAGGGAGCAAGGCCAGGGCTGTGACAGTAGAAATGGTGGCACAGATACCCACACTAAGCAAAGATGGGGCACCTTGAGGCCCACGTGGGCTCTGAGGCAGGAAGGCTGAGTGGAGGAGGAGGAGGAGGAAAAGCTATCAGGACCCAGGGGTCAGGGAAAGAGAGGACCAGTCAGCAGGACCGGCCAGCATCTCCGCAGGCTGGGACCCGCACAGAAAAGGTAGGGCGGGCTGGGGAGTCAGGCTGGCAGGGCTCCCAGGTACCAGTCAGAGGGAGGAGGGACCCACACGTCTGCTAGGCTAAGAGCTGAACTCCAACCTTGGACAAAAGGGAGCCACTGAAAGTTCCAGAGGGGAGGCTGAGGTGCAGCACAGGGTCTTAGAGGGGGTCGCCGGCTAGGGCAGAGTATGGATGTGGGGCAGGGCCAGCTGGAAGCCGAGGCAGCTGGGAGCTGAGGGCTCATGGACTTCCAGGAAGGTACCCAGAGGCCACACCTGGAGGGGCTGGAGGCTGGGGCTGAAGGCTTATCCACTGCTGCTTTCCAACTCTAGTCTGTGCCTGGCTGGTCGAGGGAGAGATGAGGGTTCTGGTGAGAGCAGGCTGGGGTTGGGGCACCAGCGACAGCAGAGGAGAGGCAGGGGGTGCCAGGGGGTGCGTGCAGGGAGGGTGCCCTCGAGGCCAGCCCGACACAGCCTCCACCTGGCCTGTGCTGATGGCCGCTTGGTGCCCTTCTGCATCCAGGGAGCCCCCGTGTGGGCAAGATTGTCATGACCGCTGCAGCTAAGCACCTGACCCCCGTCACGCTGGAGCTGGGGGGCAAGAACCCCTGCTACGTGGACGACGACTGTGACCTGCAGACTGTGGCCAACCGCGTGGTCTGGTTCCGCTGCTTCAACGCTGGCCAGACCTGCGTGGCCCCGGACTACATCCTGTGCAGCCGTGAGATGCAGGACCGCCTGGTGCCTGCCATGCAGAGAGCCATCACCCGCTTCTACGGCGACGACCCCAAGAGCTCCCCGGACCTGGGCCGCATCATCGCAGACAAGCAGTTCCAGCGGCTGCAGGGCCTGCTGGGCTGTGGGCGTGTGGCCATCGGAGGCCAGAGCGATGAGACAGAGCGCTACATTGGTGGGCGCTGTGGACAGGGCTGGGGTGCGGGAGCACAGGGGGGCAGGAGGTACAGGGGTTGTAGAGATGAGGGGGTCCAGGGGTGTGGGGTGGGCCCCAAAGGCTGCAGAGACACAGGGTGGCTCAGGAATGGGGGAGGGGGAGAGAAAGGGACGAGGGGCAGCACAAGGGGTCACAGAGAGGTTTCAAGGTTCCAGGACTCAGGGAGTATAGGAGCAGGGGGTGCAAGGGACACCCTCCTGCATGGCAAGCCCACACCGGGTGACCCTTAGGGTTCTCCCTCCAGCTTGGACCCCTGGACCCCCAGAACTATGCCAGATGCCCATCCTTGGTCTGGTGGGATGCCACTCTGAGTATATGCTGCTCTGGGGGACAGGACCCCTTGACCTGTGCCCAGCTCTGTGGCCACGGCCAGTGCCGCCAGCACTGACACTGTCCCCCAGGCCATCTCCCAGGACTGACGACCTGGGCCGGGGCGGGACCCTCTTCCCTGGAGCTCCCAGGGCCTCCTAGGTCCCCGAGTCCCCCCAAATGCCCTCAGCCCTGGCAGGTGGGGACCCGGCTGAGCGCGTGCTGTGCCGCAGCCCCCACGGTGCTGGTGGACGTGCAGGAGACGGAGCCCGTGATGCAGGAGGAGATCTTCGGGCCCATCCTGCCCATCATGAACGTGCAGGGCCCGGATGAGGCCGTGGACTTCATCAGAAGGCGGGAGAAGCCCCTGGCGCTGTACGCCTTCTCCAACAACCGCCAGGTGTGTGGGGACTGGGGTGCAGAGGGGTGGAGCGGGAAGACAGGCCCTCCTCACCTGAGAGTGCCTGTGGGGGCAGCTGGTAGACGGTCCTCCAGGTGTGACTGGGGGCTGGGGTCACAGAGGGGGAGAGAGGCGAGATGAGGGATCCTTGTGTGCCACAGTCCACCCTGTGAGCACCCAGGCCCCAGGGGAGAGCCCAGAGCTCAGGGGGTCACCTAGAACCCAGGGAGTGCTCAGAAAGAACCCAGAAGCACTCAGAACTGGGGGCCCTCAGAACCAGGGAGTCATTAGAACTTGGGCACCCTCAGAACCCGAGGCCCTCAGAACTGGGGGCCCTCAGAACCTGGGAGTCATCAGAACTTGGGGGCCCTCAGAACCCAGAAGGTACTCAGAACTCAGGGGGTCCTCAAAACCCAGGGTCCTCAAAACCTGGGGGTGCTCAGAACCCAGGGGGCACTCAGAACCCGGGAGCACTCAGAACTCAGGGGGCACTCAGAGCCTGTGGGTCCTCAGAACCCAGGGGTGTTTGGAACCCAGAGGCACTCAGAACCTTGGGTTCCTCAGAACTCAGGGGCTCTCAGAACCTGGGGCACTCAGAACCCAGGGCGCTCAGAACCAGGGGCCCTCGGAACCTCGGGACACTCAGAACTTGGACGCTCAGAACCCAGAGGCATCCAGAACCTGGGGCCCTCAGAACCCAGATGCAATCAGAACCCGGGGGCCCTCAGAGGCCCCAGCAGTCCCCTCGGGCTTCTCCCACTGTTTTGTTTTCTAACTGCTGAGATGAAGTCAGCCATGTTCAGGGAACAACTCCAGGGCACCTAGTACTTGCATGAGGCCCTGCCACCCGACAATCCCTGCTGTGTGCTGTGTCCGAGCCCACGGCTGCAGCCACGCTGTCAATCCCGCTCACTGAGGGCCTTCCTCTTTCACTGACCCTCTCTTTTTCCAAGCACGATGGCTTGGAAACCCTACGGGGCATTCCTACTCTGTCCCACGAGGTCACTGAGTCAGAGTCATCTCAGCAGCCGCAGAATCAGAAGGTGAGGTCGGTGCGCGCACCAGCATCGAGAAACTGACACTGCTCTGTTCTACTCACAGAACTTGATTGGAATTTTGCCCGTTTTTTCTGCTAATGTCACCTTTCTGGACCCAAATTCAACCCAGGGTGCCCATTCCACTTAGCCATTCTGCAGCCGCCTCTGTGGCAGTGTCCTCCCTTCCTTGTGACTCTGAATCTTGAAGACAGGCCACATCGCCTACAGATTGCCACACCTTGGCTTATCTGCTGTTTTTTAACCTATTCTTTCTTTCAATTGTGACTAGAGTGAAAGTTTGCAGAGAAATCAGTTTTCCATTCACTCATACACATCTTGTTTTATGACCTTAATGATACTCTTAATGATAATGGGACAGCACTCCTCCCACTTCCTCCCTGTGTCTCCCATTTCCATTCATCTTCCTCTACCCCTTCCGCCTTTTTAGCTCTATCCCTGGGCAAATTCATCTCTCTGAGCTTGCATGGTTGACTGTCGGAGTGTCACTGATCACCTGATGTTTGTCTGTCTTTCTCATGAACAAACAGAAGGTGGGGGATTTTGGAAAGGATGCCACAGAGGTGACGGGCTTGCCTCTTCGCTATCCCCACTGCAGCGACTCTTCCTTTCTGCACTTATTATTATTTTTAATTTTGGGTGTGTGTGTGTGTGTGTGTGTGTGTGTGTGTGTACCATCAAATCGGATCTGACTGGTACAGGAGGAGAATGTCCCTCCCTCGCCAGCAGATCATCTGGTGGATTTGAACCACACACTCTGGGATTGCAGTTCAACTTCTTGCCACCTGCACTCTGTTCTTGAGCAACTCACCTGTCGCTCCAGCCAGCCCCGTAGGGAGGGCCTGTGACTTAGCGCCACCTGCTGGAAGGCCGAGCATCTGCAGCTCTTATTTGGAATTCTCTTTTTTTCTTCTTCTCATTTATCATAGTGCCGGTGTGCATCTTATCCGGCCGGTTCTAATACAACATATTTCACTGTTCACATCGTCCCGGCTCTGGCCCCTTGGAGCTCCTCCAGGTCGGCTCCCGTGTCCTCTGACACACCTGTCCTTTTGTTCTCTGGCCACCTTCCTTACTTTTCTGGCTTTACAAGATGCTGCGGGCTCGTCTTGTGTTTTCCCTGTCCTGGTCCCACAATCAGAGGTTTCTCTGAGGAAACCAGGTACGTCTGGTTCATTTTCACTTTAGAAAACTCTACACAGGAGTGTTTGGTTTTTGTGGGGTTTAGAGGTCTTGGGGTTTTTAGGTTTTTGGTGTTGTTGGTTTTTTTTGGTTTGTTTTTTTTTTTAGGTAGAGCCATTTGACCAAGTGTCTTTTATATCTTTTACATTCTATATTTTTTCTGACCATCAGCTTTGATCCCAGTAGACACACACACACACACACACACACACACACACACACACACACACACCTTTCAGTGTTTTCCATTCTTACTAGTGCAAAGCACTCTTGATTGTTGTTTTTAAGCTTTTTATTGTGATTGGGTAAAAGTTTACAGAGTAAATAGGTTTTCCACTCAACAATTCATATGCATTTAGCTGTGGGACCTTGACTGCAATTGCATGCTATAACAGCACTCTCCCCAGTCCCTCCTTGTGTTTCCCATTTCTATCCATCCTTCTTGCTTAACCCTTCCTGCCCTTTGCTCTCCTGTGGTTGCTTTTTTCGGGGAGTAATGTGATGCTTTTTATCCATCATTTGCAGTTGCTAATGGGAGGGGGAGGCATCTCACTATGATTCTGGGGTGTGTGAACCCACAGTGGACATCTACTCTGAGCAGTTAAAAAGGCCCTGGTCCCATCACTATCCAAGGATCACACCAATCGTAACTACACAAAGTTGCCGTGTACTTACTGTCTAAACCATTTGTCACCAGGCAGATTCTGACTCCTGGCAGCCCCATGTGTTTTTGGTTTTCAGTGGCTGACTTTTCTGTAGACAGCCAGGCCTTTCTTCTGAGGTACCCAAGGGTGGGCTCAGATACCCAACCTCTGTGCACCCAAATGTGTTAACAGCATCATGTGGGACTCCCCTTACAATCTCCGCATCTCCCCCGTCCCCCCATCTGAAGGGAAAGGTCCCTCAATAAGTTATACAGGACCAAGTTCCTAAGACACAAGCCTGCCCACATCACCGCGCCTAACTGATGTCCCTGGTTCTCTCCCTGCCAACAGCACATCCTACAAGGCCCCAGCGATTTGGGTTTGGTCTGGGTGCTGCTAGGCCCCAGTTTGGGACCTTGTGCCTGCCCCACCACTCTCTGTGTATCACTCTGCCTGGGGTGGCGGCCCCAGCTGTGCCTGATTGATTTCTGCGCTTCCCAGAGACCTAGAGACTCGTCCCTCCCTCAGGGCCCCTCCCTGAGGACGTCCCCTATAAGCAGGGCTGTCACCGCTCTGGGCTCCTGCAGCGCTGGGACTGCAGAAGAGAGGACACTGAGGAGACACATCCAAGTAGGGGCTTTGGGACAGGCTGCTGCACAGCTTGCTCAGCTGGACAGTCCCTGGATCGAGCACGCGCAGGCTGTGGGGGTAGCATGGCTGGTCTCCGTGGGAGCAGCATGGCCAGTCACCACAGGGGCAGTGTTTCTCAGTGTCCTTCCTTCCTCCCCAGGTGGTGAAGCGGGTGCTGGCAGGGACCAGCAGTGGGGGCTTCTGCGGCAACGACGGCTTCATGCACATGACGCTGGCCACTCTGCCCTTCGGAGGAGTGGGTAGGTGCGGCGGGGGCCCTCGCCGTTGGCTATCCCATGATCACAAACGCTCCTGGAGTAAGGGGGCTGCTCAGAGAGTATCCACGGTGCAGCGGCCTCCTCCCAGGCCACGTCCAACCCAACACACTGCCGATTCACAGCAGAAACTTCTCGACCTGTCGGTGCACTCATCTAAGTGGATATGCACACTAACACACAATTTTGGGTTTCTAGTTGTTGGATTTCTTTTTCCACCACAAATGTGACCATAGGGTTCTGTTGGGAACTCCTCACGGCCCTTCTACCCTCTCCATCCACCCAGGATCTAGGATCACTGGAGCTGGGAGTGGTGTCCCTGTCCGGAAGGGCAATGAGCAGGGACCCCCTCCTAAGAGCAGCCGCCAACACAGCTGTGAAGGGAAACACAGGCTCCCTTATGACACTCCAGCGGGCTGTGCAGTCTGTCCCCTCACAGCATGTCAGCCTACCCCGGGTGACCTAGACCCTCCCGCGTACCCACCCCCACGGGCTCTGGGGATCCTCAGGACCCCACCCCCCTAGGCTGGGCCGTGGGCACCTCTCCTGGCACCGGGCACCTGAAGCCTGAAGCGGCTTCTTCCTCATCTGCTCCTCCCCCAGATGCTGAGGACCCTCCTAACAATCCAGCACCAACAGCGTGCATGGGCCTGACCCCCACAGGGGGGCCTGACACCATGTCTATGCCCCACGCAGGTGCCAGCGGGATGGGCAGGTACCACGGCAAGTTCTCCTTCGACACCTTCTCCCACCACCGCGCCTGCCTGCTGCGCCCCCCGGGGCTGGAGAAGATCTACGCTATGCGCTACCCACCCTACACCAGGCGCAACCTCAGAGTGCTGCAGATGGCCATGGAGACCCGCGGCTGCAGCTGCACCCTGCTCTGATGCAGTCATCTGGGTCTGCTGGGAGAGACTGCCCCCTCCAGCCCCTGTTCCCCATTCCAGTGCTGGTCAGGTGTCCCCAGCGAGGAGGAAACTGAGACATCTACTTCCCGGGGCAAGGACTGCAGAGGGGCCCTGGGGACTGATCCAGGCTGCTCCAAGGAACCCTGTCCTCGCTAAGCCTCAGTTCTTCCATCTGTCCAAGGGAAGGGGTTAGTCACCACCAGAGATCAACATAAGAATTAAACTGGGGGCAGCGTGAAGACCAAGAAGCCAAACTCATTCCCATGTGGTGCATTTTGACTCAGAGCGACCCTGCAGGCCTGAGCAGAGCTGCCCACACAGGGTTCTGGGGGTTGTAAATCTCTACCGAGGTAGGGTGCCTCCTCTTTGTCCCGAGGGGTGGCTGGTGGGTTTGATCTGCCAACTCTTCAGTTAGCAGCCATGCCTTCAAGGGGGGCAGCATGAGGTTTAATAAACACGGGCTGCCAGCCAGAGCTCCGGTGTGTCTGTTCTGGTCTGCATGGCGAGGCTGCTGGCTCTGTTGCCAGCCAGGTCAGCTGGCCTTGAACCTGCCTCCTGGGAGCACTGATCACTTTCCTTTCTCAATCCTGACCATGTTGTGGGCTGTCACCATGGCCACACTGGACGCGACCCATTACCGTTCATACTCATCCTCTAGGGGCCCAGAGCCTTGGAATGGTCTCCCATCCACCCGCACCCAAGACTAAAGCCAGGATCTGCTGCACACAAGCCTCACCCTCGTAATTCCAACATGCTGAGGGCTTCCCCACCCTCACACTCCACCACGTCCAGAGCCCTGCTGCAAGTTGCAGGTCACAGGTCACCTTGTCACCGCCCCTTCTCTCCAGACCCAGCCCTACTCAGGGCAGAGGAGACTATGGTGCTCCTTGGCCTAAAATCTGCCTGGGCTCTAGTGGCCCCAGAATCAAGTTTCAGATCCTGAATAGTCACTGCTCTGGCCATATGGGCCACCAAGCCACTGACCACTCATCCTGTCCTAACACACCAGGCCTCCTTCTCAGAGGATCTCAGCATCTTTGATGGGAATACTCTTTGTCCTTCTCAGTCTGCCTAATCTCTGCTCGCTGCCAGCTTGGCCATCACCTCCTCCAGGAAGCCCTCCCTGACTATTTTCAGCAGTCCCACACACAGAATGCCTCCAGAGCGGCTCAGCACTGCAGACTCTGTGTACCCTGTGTGCCTGAATCCACAGGGAGAAACAGACGTGGTGCCCGGCTCATATAGATCCAAGTCATTAAACTTCTCAGTCCTTCAGTTTCCCCATCTGTAAAGTTAAGAGCTGTAGTTCTGCCACCAGGGTCGTCGTGGGAATTGAATGTGTGAAGTGTCTGGCACAGGGACCGCACGGGGAGTCCCCACCCACCCGTCAACTGTCACAGGCATTATAATGCACACCCCACTGAGGACGAGCGGTTCAATCCCGCCGGCCCACGGCGCCTGCTCCCCATCCCCGGCCCATGTGCTCAGAGTCCAGGAGGCGAGGGGCAACAGGAGATGTTTCTCCGGCGGGGTCTCAGTCTCTTCTGCCCTGTTCCTGCTCCCACACTGCCCGCGAGCCCAGCCATTACTCCACAACCCACTGTCGGACCCTGACTCGCCCCTTAAATCACGCCCCGGATGTCCCACCTCTTGTAGCTCAAGACTTCTCGCTTATTGGCCTCTCCAAAACAATATGGCGACACCCTGTAGAACTTCAAGCACCTAATCCCTTCTAACCAATCAGAGGAGAAATTTTTTTAGGTCCCTCCCCTTTCGGCGGACATTGGCCAATCATACGATATCATGTAGAGTCAACTGGGAAAAGGCGAAGCCATCCCTGCCCAAAAGCAGCGTCCTAGAGTGTAGGCTCCGCCTCTCCGCTAACTGGCTAGTGGGAAGCAGCAGCAGCGCTCCACGGTAGGTGTTGGGGGCTCACCGTTAAGACGGACCTGGGCAGCTCGGCGCCGAGGCTAGTGGCGTCCCGAATGGCCCCGCCGGCTCCGCACCTGGGCTTTGCTTCGGCCGGCTCAGGTGGCGCGGCCTCTGTGTCCTTCAGCGTGCAGCCGGCGTCTGGCCAGGCTGACACCTCAAGGCGCATGCGCTAGCCGGGCTGCTGCGTCCGAGGGGTCGGAGATCACGGGGAAGGTCGAGAAAGGGGCCAGGTTGAGCGCGAGGGTCTGGAGTCAAAGGTCAACATCAGTGAAGCGCCCAGCTAAGGGTCCCAGGTCCCCGATCTAAGTGGCGGGCCCTAAGCGCATGTATGAACCCCTGTATCCCAAAGTCCCCCCATTTCCAAGGGAAGACAATTGAGCCCAGATGCAGGGCTCACCTGGATGCGAGGTCACCCGGCGGGCTGGTGATCGAGTGGAAAACGTAAAACATAGCGGAGGAGTTGATTGCGATTCATAGCGACCCTGCAGTGCCGAAATAACTGGTTTTAGTGGTAAGAAGTTGTCTTGCCAACCAGAGATACGTGGTTCAAATCCAGCCAGACGCTCCGCGGGGGAAAAAATGCGCATTTTCCTTCCATGCGATTTACTGCTTCAGAAAACCCGCTGGAGCGTCAGCTGTGGTTGGAGTCCACGGTCCACAGGGGGACCGCCGCATTTTTATTATTACTACAACACTCTTGGCACCGGTAGCCAGGAAATCAAAAAACATATTGCGATGGGAAAGTCTGTGGTTAGAAACCTCTCTAAAGTACTCAAGAGCAACGGTGTCACTCTGGAGGCTAAGGTGCGCCTGATACAGGCCATGGTTTTTGCAATCACTTGTTATGCATCAGTTGGACAATGACTAGGGAGGACAGAAGGAGAATTGACACCTTTGAGCTGTGGTGCTGGAGAAGAGTATTGAATGTACGTACCATGGACTGCCAGGAAAACAAACAGATTCATCCTAGAGAGGGTTAAACCAGGCTGCTCCTTGGAGGCAAGGATTCTGGGGCTTCGCCTTACATACTTTGGACATGTTGTAAGGAGGGACAGGTCTTTGGAGAGGGACATCATGCTGGGTAGAGTGGAGGGACAGCGCAGGAGGGGAAGACCCTCTATGAGGTGGATTGATTCAGTGACTGGGGTAATCGGGATGGGTGTGTCAGAGGCAATGAGATTGGCACAGGATAGAGCAGGGTTTAGGGCTGTTGTACATAGGGTTGCTATGAGTTGCAAACGACTCGACGGCACGTAACAACAACAGTGCAGCTGGTAGATCCGAACCATGGAGCTTTCTAGTGGCAGCCCAGCACTGAATTCACTGTGCAACCAGGGCCCCTTTCACAGGCCTGGAAGGGGCTTGCTTATGGGGACAAGAATCAGCTTGAGGATTCCTGGGGCCTTTAAAAGTTCAGCAGAGGAAGGTGGGTGGGTGACTTTGAATGTGTCACTTCTGCAAAAGGGGTGTGTTAATACTGCCCTCCTGTGTCCCTGCAAGGACCCTGTGAAGAGAAGCCCCTCACCTAGTGCTGGACTTGAAATTAGCCATCACTCACATGCTTGATAAATGTTATATGTATTTGGTGGATATGAAACAGTGAGTGGGTGGAGGGAGGCGAGAAGGCTTATAGGGGGTGGGATTAAAGGGATTTCTCAGGAGATGAGACAGAACTTGGGGTCCCTAAATTCTAGTCCAGTCGAGGGGGACCTGGTGGGAGGGATGGGCTGTGTAGATCTCAGAGCTGTTCGTGCCCCTGGCAGGGGTGATTAAAGGAGGGGCAGTGGAGTTTTTGGACCAGTTTTGGTACCCACTCATACCTCCCTCACTTTTTTACACTTGTTCCGTCTTTGTTGAAAGCATCCCGGGCCCTTGACAGCATCTGAGGGTGAAGCTTTCTATGCAGTGTTGTTGTGAGGTCCCATTGAATAGTCAGTTCCGATTTGCAGCGACCTGGTGTACGACTCCCCGGTCCTGAGCCATCTCCACGTTTGTTGCTCTGTTTGAGCTCTTTGCTGCGTTCTTTGTCACTCCGTCTCTTTGAGGATCTTCCTCGTTCTCTGACCCTCCACCTTCCCAGCATGTCCTTTCTAGGACCTGGCCCTTCCTGACCACATGTCCCAGCGACACTAGACAGCCTCTCCGCACTTTCCCTTCTGAGGAGCTTTCTGGTTGCGCTTTTCCGAAGACAGAATTCTTTTTCTGACAGCCTGTGGCAAAGTCAGTATTTCTCACCAACACTGTAGTTGAAAGGCACCACTTCTTCTCTGATCTTCTTTATTCATTGTCAAGTTTTCACTTGCCAAAAAAAAAAACAGTTTTTACTTGCATAATGTATCATTAAAATAACAAACCTCCTGTACCAGTCAGATCTGATTTGATGGTACATGTAAAAATAATACAACTAAAAAATAAATAAATAAATAAAATAAAAAAACAAACCAACCTCAAGCTCATTGCTGTCACGTTGGAAGCAACTCATCATTAACCCTCCAGACTCTGAGCCTTTCTGAAACTGCAAACCACCCTGAGGGGAACTGTCCTTGTCTCTTGGAGTAGCTGGTGGATCTGAACCACTTTACTTTGGGTTGGCAGCGTAACTCGTTACCACTGGGCCACTAGAAGTCCCTGGTAATGACATACTCTAGTTTTCCCATGCCGTGGTTAAACTTACCCTTGGTCACCTGCAGTCAGAAATACTGAAATTGCTCCCGTTCTGAATTGTATGATTAAATCTCCCACCATCCCCAGTCCATCCTGGAACTGGCCTCCTCTGCTGGGCAGGTACTCGGAAGTGCGAGTGAGCCCTGCACTGTATCCTGCTTGCCACTTCGGCAACCTCCTGGTAACCTGCTGCGTGGATGGACACGTAGGAGAAAGCCATGTATTTATTATAGGCTTTGGTATTATCCCTTGGGATTCAGGGTATCCCCTGGGAGACTTGAAATATGTCCCCTTTGACCACATTCTCAGGTGGGGCCAGTCCCTGGAGAAGGACACTGTGCTTGGAAAACCAGAGGGTGACTGAAGGAGAGGAGACCTCTCTA